AGAGACATGAAACTTTGCACAGAGATGCCTCTCCTCATGAGGAACACATTTGCCTCAAGAACCCATAACTTCCGCTTATATAGATTTTCCGCCATTTTGAATTTTTTGAAAAACACTTCAAATGGATCTCTTCCTAGGAAGTTTGAGCGATCTGCATGAAACTGGGTGAACATAATCTAGGGACCAATATCTAAAGTTCCCTCTTGGCAAAAGTTGGAAAACTTACTAAAACTGAGCTTCTATAAGGCAATGAATATTGCGGAGGGCGTGGCTCATCACATAAAGGTGTATAACATCTCAAGGGTTTCACCCATCACCACGCAACTTTGTAGGCATATGACCACACATAATCTGAGGGGACCCCTCCATTATTGACCCCATCAAACAAAATGGGGGCGCTAGAGAGCTCATTTCTTATCTAGGCCTAACCGCCATATGGATTTTTACTAAACTTGGTAGATATGTAGAACAGGACGCCTCAAGGTGACTGGAGAAATTTAACTCTAATTGGCAACAGCAGATCACGTGGAAAAAAGGCTTTTTGGAGAGCTTGGAAAAACAGCTTTTGTGACACTCAAACATACGTACTTCATCCAAAATTTGAATGTTCAGATTTAAATACATAAGGAATACAACTGGGGAGATACAGAATGATAAAAAATCCTTGAAAAACACAACAGATAATGGACCTGCCCTTTAAATTCTACCACATCTACAAAAGCTTTGTCTTTAACCTTAAGTAAGCGAGTACATTTAATGAGGGGAAACCATATATAATATAATATAAGCTTTGTCTTTAACCTTAAGTAAGCGAGTACATTTAATGAGGGGAAACCATAATATAAGGGGCTTTGTCATGCCCCTCGGCATCTCACAGGGATGCACAGGGCACCATTTAGCACAGTGGTTCCTAACTGGTGGGTCACGGTCCAAAAATGGGTCTTGGGTCTTGGTAAATGGGCCGCAAGTGACTTGCGAACATGTCAGGTTTGTAAAAAATATACTTTATTTTGAAGGACAGTGAATTTCTGGCGCATCGCTTTTATTTTGAAGTGCCGGTTCCTGCTGTAGAATGAGTGAATAAAGCACAGCTACTTAACAGAGACAGCAAACTAACGCAACAACATGGCCAAACACAAGTATGACTTTGAGTGTATTAAACTGTGTGGACCTTGAACTAATGACTAAGGAGAAATCTGGACCCTGTGGCTGGACTCGTTGGTACGTGGTTAATGTTGTGAAGCGGTTGCAGTTAGGTTTCAAAACTGTTTGGTTAGGTTCAGAAAAAAGAACACGTTCTGTGTTAAAAGAAGTACATTCGTTTCATATTGTAGTGTGACGTAAATATGACGTTGCCTCCGATTTCTGAGCTGAAAGTCTGGTTTTGTTTGACCTACCCCCCCCCCTTCCTCCCATGCTACCCAGACTTTTTCGTTCTTTATACGAAAGCAGTTGCTCTCAGCGTCAAGTATGGGTTTACACAGGAGTTAGTTAAAAGCCCGGTTTGTCTCATAAACATGCTGAAGGGTGACTTTGGTGTTAATATCACGTGTTGAGGGGCGTGACAAAGCATTGATATTTGACCCCCCTTGAAATGAGAGCAGGCTGGGGACTCAGAATTGTAGATGATATCTTGATCCCCCACCTCCTCCCTATGATATTCTCTATGTGAGCACACTCACCCCCTCCAGCAGGTTGGCAGGTGCCGTCCTGGCGCCGGTCAGGTCCTGAACGAGGAACTCCGTCCAGTCGCTGTATTTCTCCTTGATGGCTGCAAAGAGACATAAAACACAGAAGTGAGACTGAGAGACATGTAAGCAATCAACAGCAATCACAACTGTGCTGCTGTGTCATGGTGAATTATTAATTATGAGCCACTACATTGAACTGTTAAGTGTAGTCACCAGAGAACGGCATGCATGAGTAAGTGCACACATCACAAACACACAGCACTCCTACTATTAATACTGGTTTTTAAATGCAGATAGGGATTTCTTTAATTAAAGCTGCAGATGTGAAGTATTTTAACCGTGAATGTCTCTGAATTTTGATCATTTTTATGCAAAAGAAGTGAGAAAAAAATTCACATATTCAGTGTTTTTCCCTGGAAAAGCCTCTGAAGCCTTGATGGCTTCATTCACTCTGCAAACATTAATGCTGGATTCTGATTTATGGCTGAGATTAGACATTTTTTTGGGCTTGCATCTGGCAGGTTTCTGCAGAAGTAAACACATCAAAATGAAAAACACTGACTAATGTCGTATTGAGCCGTGCCATTTAAATGTTAATGCACAGAATAACAGCTGCAAATTTGAGAATAAAATAAAGACGAGGCTAAGGAGGCAAAACAGAACCAAAACGTTTGATTAGGACTCTTGGAAGAGCAGAAGTGGCTGTTTTTTATTCTGTGCAGAGATGTGAGATGAGTGGCGGGAACAGAAACAGGTTTCATCCAGAATTTCACGTATCAAAGGTCATCGGGTGACGTGTAACTTCCTCTGGGAGCAGTAAATGATGCATGAACTGAAGATGACTGTTGAGGCTGAGGTCGCTGCCGCAAATTAGATATGTGTCCGGTTTAAGACCACATATGAGAGCAACCCAGATCAAACTTAGAAACGTCAGCTGCAGAGTGAGAGATAGAAAATGATCTATGGCACAAATGAGGAAGGAAAGATAGTGCTAAGATAATAGTATTGATGGAAGTATTAATAATAAATTGTGTTTATCAGGTAGAAAATAGATGAAATGTAAACTAAAATGTATTCATGAAAGGGCTTTCCCCTAAAAATACTGCTTGGTATGACGATTTCTTTCTGATAAGACCTCGTCTCCATTCTTAGTTCAGAGTACACGTGAAGAATATTATGTGACATCACTTAAACATCTTCCAAAATGGACACGTCTGTAATTCTACGTAATATCACGCCCTTTAATAAAGGTAGGGTTTATTGCAGGGCTGTATTAACTCATTAGGGACATGAGGAATAAACAAAATTTGAAAATACTAGTCCGCATCAACACTATTCATACCAGCAGCGATATGAATTTGAAACAGTTGCAACTGGTCTCCCATAATCAATTTATTAATCACAGAATTTTGTTTATGCAATGTGATTGGTTGATGCCTTTATTCACGGCGCAAAAGCTCAGAAATATCAACCTCATTTGCAACAAAAATTACGTTGTTTTTTTGCTTGGTAATATTCAAATTCTGTGTAAAAGTCGCCATGACAAAAGTCTTTAGACTGTGTTAGTTTTAGCTGGGTGTACCTAATAAACTGGCAACTTAGTGTTTTACCACTTTAACAGGTGCAAGGAAGGGAAAGGAAGGGAACAGGAAGGGAACAGGAAGGGAAATATAAATCAAGCAGAGTCTGTACAGTCCAGAAAACAAGGTCTAATCACGATAAGTAAGAACATCTGTGTAGGGTTAATATGAGTGTTTACTCAATCTGCTGTTTTTAAAAACAATAAATATGAAACCTGTTAAATGTCCATGATGAACACTGAATGCACCACCAGATCTGAGACTCTAAACCAGGTCTACCTAAAGCCAGACACACAAATATCAATCAATCACAATCACAGACTGCTAAATTAACCCAACAAACACACTGCTGGCTTATACCCGACAACAGTATAGTGGTGCTTAGTGCAAAAAACACATGTATTTGTACAATGCAGCGACGTTCACGGTCGCACAGTCCTCGGCCGCCATTTCCAGTTTGAAAAGTGGTCCCTCCCCTTCCGCTACGTAGCCAAGATGGCGACCATTGAGGGCGAGAAGTGTCCATAGCTCCACACTCAACTTCTTTACCGTTTTGAGTGCACCATCCAGGTACTCATAGTGCACTGCATTTTTCCATACTTCTCAGTGTGGACACACTTATGCACTCAAAATATTAAGTGTAAGTACAGAAGTACGCGATTTGAGACTTAAAGGAAAACTTCACCCCACAAATGATCATGTCTGTATCCGTTACTCACCCCATAATACCTTGAATGCGTGAATGAGCTTTTTTTTTCTAACATTCCTCAACGGTGAAACGAAGAATCCAAAAAATAAAAAATCTTAATGAATTGAAGTCATAGGGGTCCATGTTCAAAAACAGGAAACTGATATCAAAACATCCGTTTTAACTCTCACACAACCCGTGCAGTATAATCCAAGTCTCATGGATCCAGCCGTATGCTCAGTACTTCCCAAACAGACAGCTCTTTCTAAAAGGGAACTGAACTAACAGTGAAACTTATCTATGCTCTCTTCAAAGCCAAACTCCATTGACAAAACAGTCATTTTACCTGGCAGAACACAGGAGCTGCTGGTCTACAACTGCCTCGATCAGTTATTTAGTTTGTGTTACTGTGTGACATTTGTGTTTTAAAGGGTTAGTTCGAACTCACCAAAGTCACACAATAACACAAGCTGTCTACCTGTAGACGCAGCTGTACGCCAGCAGCTCCTGTGTTCAGTGAGGTAAAATTGCTGTTTTTGTCAATGGGGTCTGGCTTCAGTTCAGTTAAGATTTTAGCAACAATGCATGTGTTTGGGAAGTACTGAGCGTACGACTGGATAAATGAGACTCGGATTATGCTGCACGAGTTGTCTGAGAGTTTGTAAATGGACTTTTTGATATAGTTTTGCTGTCCTTAAACGCGGACCCCTATGACTCCAATTCAGAAGAATTTTGTGTGTTTTTGGATTGTCCGTTCACCGTGAAGGCATGTAAGGAAAACACTTTTTCTTTTAAAGAATTCAACATAACACAGGGTGAGTAACTGATTTACACATGATCATTTAGGGGGTGAAGTATTCCTTTAAGTCACAAAAATGAAAACCTGATTTGGACTCTGAGATTGGTCTTGACTTAAAAGCAAAAACATTCACTCAAGGTTTGATGTGTTAAATTTTGGTAAAATAGAAAAACTAGACATAGACAGGCAGGTTTTCTTGACTATTTTATCATTAAACATGTGCAGTAAACTGATGTATGTCCAAAAGCACAGCTTTGAAAGCAAGTATCAGCATCCAGAGACCTGAGAGACTTTGAATAAAGGTGCCCTTTGCTATGATGACTTATGACGACTTGACTTGACAAAACTTCACCCGAAATAATGTTGAACTCCAACTCTCCCCTTAAACTGAGTGTGATACTAACAAACTCTTGACTTATGTTAGCAGCCTTGCCATATTTTTTTTTTTGCTTGATTGACGCCCTTATTCATGGACAGAATTTGCTCACCTCGTGAGGACCAACAGGACATGAATCCCCACAGTGTGACTGTTTGAACAGATTTCTGTCCCTACAATGTGACCACTACAACACCACACAAATGCAAACCCAGCACATGCCAGGTGGACCAGAGCTCTGTCTCCAGAGCCGTGCTAAAAAGCCAACTTCCAGCTCGTTTGCATGAGGACGTGGTTATGCTGAGTGGCCTTCAGAGTCCTGCGTGTTTTTCCTGTTAGTCACTTACACAAAAACAAAAACAGAAAACCTCCACGAAGTCAGACACTTGTTGGAGTCGCTGAAACGTTGCCAAATGAGTCACAGTTACAGAATGACTACCACACACTGCGTGAACTGACATTCCCTGCAGCAGTGATTAGCATCAAGCTGAAGTAAAAATGAAATGTAGTTCATACACTGAAACATGCTGCTAATGAAAATAGGGTCTGGGTTTAGGTTGTTCGGCTCGCTGAGGTGTTTCTGTTTCCAGAGTTTAGAATCAAGAGAGCAAATTAATCTTTGAGCATGTATATCGTGTTTATCGTGCAAGTTCTTGTTTGGATTTTTAATTTCCTTTTCAGTGAACAGCTGGAAAAACAAATCATAAACTACAGGGTTGTAAATGTAAAGCTTGAGTAGGTTTTTTCAACAGACAGAAGAATCCACTTGAACAGTTTGTGTTACTGGAAACCAGTCAGTTAAGTCATGAAAAAAGTATTTGAGCAGTTCTCAACAGATGTTTTTTTACTTCTGCTGTTTAACTTCTACTTCTCTAGTTTTTCTTTCAATAGCATGTTAATTTAAATTTACAATATGTAATTTTCTGCTGCCAGGGGTCTCTCAGTCAAAACAATAACAAAAGACGGAGCAATGCCGTCACTGCAGTCAGTTTCTCCCGGTTACAATTCCTTCAGTGTTCATTGTTCAGGAGGTTTTTACTGGGAGCTGAATAATCCACAGAGGCATGATAAGTAATTTGGAAGCACTAGGGAGAGACTTATGTTTTTTATTTTGGCTTAGGGAAGAAATACACAACTGAAATGGCAGTATTTTGTATTTCTTTTAACCTTGATTTTTAAAGGAAACATGCCTTCAAAATATGCTGGTGGGTTTTGAGGACATGCTTCCTTGAAAAATCGAAAGAAATCATGTGAAGAGAATCTGCCTTTATTTGGTAGGCATGTTTTCTTTTAAAAATTGACAAATTACGCTATTTATCACAGCAAGAAACAGCAAAAAACAGAAATTATCATTGGATTTTCAAATATCCAATGGTCCTTGAACACATTATATGTGACGAACGCTACTGTCAGAAAAAAACCCATAACCAAATCTGATCTTAAGATAGTAATATTTTATCAAAATCACTTTATTTTACCTGTCTCGTGTAAAATGTGGCCCAAAATAAGCTGTTTGCACAAACTACCCAAGGCTTTTTTCAACTCCTGGATTTCATCTTCAACTTGAATGATAACTCAAGATTAAAACGTTGAGGAGGTTTTCTACCGGGATCCAAATTATCTGCAGAGGTCTCTTC